CCTCGACAAAGATTCACCCTCACATTAAAGAATCGCTTTCATATTCTTCGTCACCAGATTATAACTCTTCGGCTATAAATAAGTCACGACCTTCTGATAGTTCATCACATTCTATCACGCATCAAGAAATGGAAGAGTTTTTAAGAAGTCATAGACAAGAGCTCAGGGAAATTAGCGACACTAGTAAACAAGAAACTAAACTCTTGGCGAACTTTACCTTAGGAATGAACTCCAATAATGACTTGGGCGGAACACATGAGATTACAGTTGGTGCTTTTGAACAATACCTCGATGAATTAGACGGACTTTTAGAATCCAAAGAACGAGTTATCTCTGAATTGAGACGCAAAATATCACAGCTTTGGCGACGAAGCTAAGATACTGATTGAGACTTCGTCTATCCCTCTTACCTCCCTTCCATTCATTAATATGGAAAGAATCATTTTCGCTGTGCACTACATGTGAAGTTATTATAAATTTGTTCATGGTGGATTAATCGTTTAATTGCGCCCGATCAGTTTGGATAAGTTATTGTCGCACAATTCTTATAAAGATCAAGAATTGTCTCACTTTTCACGTTACGCGCTTGACTGAATTACTTCAAACTTCTATACCCTTATCCTTTAACAATATTGTTTATTATTTTCTTGTGTTCAAAAATGTGAAATGTTTGTAGATATAGATATTTACTTTGGACATTACAAAATTCAATGTGAAGTTATTTTTTTTATTTTTAGGGTTATTTCTTGTGCTGTACTTTATTTGTTGAACTTCCTAAATGAAATCGATCATAAAATCATGATCTAATCTTCAACAAAAGTACTTATAATGAAATATAGTTAACATATTTGGTCATTTTTTTCATATTAGTATATTAGCCGCGAGTCGTTTGAATATTTATTTCAAAAGTTTACCAAATAATCCTTTTCTTTAAGATGTCGCATTCATTTTGTTCTTAATCATATTGTAATTCGATTTTCTTATACTCATGCATTGATTAAAGACAGATGAGTTTGCCGA